CCCGGGTGTTTCCAGCTGGCCCCCTCTCTGGGCTCCTCCTCGGAGCTTCTGCCAGCTCCCTCGTCAATTTCGCCGCTCCTCCTCGGCGCTGCGGCTCTCCCAGCCTCCGTCGCTCCCGGCGCTGCTGCAGCCTATTTGGCCCACGGCCAAGGCCCCTTGCGGGTGCCCGGTTCCACTCCTGTGCTTCCCCCCCGGGCTTCACGTCCTCTCGCAGTGCGCCCCCTCTGCCTTCGGGGCCGCGTTTTATTTCCGCTGAGTGGCGCCTCTCTCTGACGTCACTCCGCCCCAGTCGTATGAAAGCGCGGCTAACGAGCCGCGCGGGTGGTTCCCCGGCCTGCATGCCGCCACTGCTCCCACCTCCTGCGAAGCATAAGTGAATATTTCCTCTGGCTCTGGGCCGGGGTCTCCCTCTAGTCCCGTTGTCCCTGGGACAGGGTACTTTAAAGTAAAGCTTGTTCGACAAGCTTTAGTTCAAGGTGCCTTGCTGCCATTTTTCAGCATGGGGACACTGATATATGTAATGCTTCAGGCACTTTAATAATAGTAATTCTTATTATTACACTGATACATGTAATACTTTGGGCACTAATAAAAGTGTCCCCCTCTCAGAGCATGTTTATACATGCCTAATGATATGAACAGGTTGGATCAGTTACTATTACTATTATTTGTAAATTTCAGTGGGATCCTAGTGGGTGAACTGGACATGGAGTCTTAGGTGGTGAAGGAAAAATACATTTCCTAGTGTAATTTACATGCTTTGTATACCAGTGTAAATTACTTGATCATTAGGAAAGGACAGACAGGCAGCTGCTCTGGAGTAGGTGCATCTGATAGGTGTATATATATTCCTACGCCTCACTGCTGGGAACCCAGGGAGTAGGTAATCATAGAAACATAAAAAAGTAGGAATGGAAGGGACCTCTTGAGGTCATCTGGTTCAATCTCCTGCGTGCAGCAGGATCATCTTTGTCCAAACCATCCCATACAAGTCCTTGCTTAACCTATTCCTAAAATTATACAGTCAATCCTGTCGTACAACTACAAGGTATATTGTCCAAATATACCAAAAACACTGTAATCTCCAATGGTAAAGCAGGAGCATAAGGGCTGTCAGTATCATGCTGCTTCAAGGGTTGTTAAAATGCACTTGAGAGGTCCAAGAAGTGGGTCATGTTCCCTGATAACAAGGAGGGCAAAACGCTCACAATCCATACCAGTCAAACTGGGCTAAGCCTCTCTCCTGATCCCAAATGTGGTGATTGGTCTGACCTTGAGTGGAAGGTCGAGGCCCTCTTATGGGCCTCTGAGTTAGAATCCCAGCAGCAGCATTG